ACATAACACTTAGTCGTGTGCGAGGTCACTCAACGGACCAGGGTCCTCCCAGCCAGTCGTTTGGCCGTCATACAACGTGCCCGACCTGGCTCCCTCTCGTGGAGTGCGCCTGTGGCACATCATATGCCTCTTATGGGCGGTACGTACTGTAGGGGTTTATGCATATGCATTTTCCTCGCTCACAGCCGCATGCTGATATGATTCCTGCGTCGTTCCATTGACGATCGCGGAGCTCCCGAAGTTTCCGGTCTAAGGGTAGGCCCAGTTTCCGACAATGACCTCTGGGTCGCCATAAGGTCTGACCGGGTCTGCCGTAAGGTCTTAGGAGTACCATCGTGCTACGGACTTGAGTTACGACGTAGGGTAGTGACCAAGTGGGACTGTATTTTTCCGCCGATGTGAGTGCAGATGCTCCCGGAGTTTTACTCCACTGGCTCGTTACCACTACGTCTCCAATCTGCAGCGGCTCACCTGCGTATAGCGGTGGCTCTGTCGCAACCAATTGGTGTCTCATTGCAGACTGGATTTCGAACAATCCTACTGCCTCGGAGGGGCTGTGCGTGTTGTAACGCAGCGTCCAACCGGGTATAGTCGGTTCTCGACCTGTTACGGCGTCATCGGCGCTAAGCCTGTAGCGGCGTGCGGGGTCGCGTTGTGCGTGTACGTTGCTAGGGCAACTAGCAGTTCGTAGCTGTCATTTGGGGAGTCCGCGTTGATTTTCGCGATTTGGCTCTCGAGGGCTTTGTGACTGCTTTCGTTTATGCCGTTGCTCCTTGGCACGTATGGTGGTGACTTTACGATGTCCACCCGTAATACTTTTGTTATGAACGCTGCAAACGCGCCTTCGAACTCACTGCCGTTGTCTACGTAGACCTGCCGCGGCACACCGAAGTACGCAACGAATCCTTGTGCAAAGGCGTCAGTTATCACCTGCGCTTCTTTGCTTTGGATCACTCGGGTTACTAGGAACCGTGTTGCTGTATCTATAATCACAAGTATGTAGTGGGTGTTGCCTTTGAACATGCGTGGTCCGATCAGGTCTAGGCTGACTCTGTCGAGAAATGACGCCATTGCTGACGTTCCTACCGTCTTTCTGTTGAGTGTTTTTGTTGGCAGGTATCGCGTGCATACGAAGCAACCTTT